GCTATACCATTTATATTGAATATGCTAATTAGAAAGCATATCCATTCATTCTTCAATTTCACAGTTTTATCAATCAACAAGCATTTACTAAGCACCAAGCCCTCACTAGTTACTGGGGACACAGTTAAAAACAAAACAATGTCCACCTGCAAGGAGCTTACTTCAATTAGGAAAATAACATGAACTTATAAGTAAAATATGAAATATAAAATATAAAATATAAAATATAAAATATAAACCAAAAGTAAATACCAAGTAATTTCTTGGAGAAGATAACTGTTTTTGTTTATCCTTCCTTCTCAAAAAGGACCATGACATCAGGAAGCTGATGTCATGATTTGCAAGTGAACTGGATTTAAGTGAGGGAGGGCTGTGTAAAGTCACCAGCATCACTTTCTCCTCCAGGCATCTAGGTCCAGTGGCCAGATACACATCAGGACGACTGACGATGGTCCTCTGGAGGAGGTACTAACAATTAGGGGAACAAAGGGAGAGAGTTTAGAAAATGTCTCATATAGAAAGCAGTCCTTGAACAACTCTGAAGGAAACTATTGAACTAAACTTTGAAGGAAGCCAGGGATTCTCTGTGGTAGAGGTGACAATGGGAGTTCATTTCAGATTCAGAAAACAGCTGTTTAAAGACAGTGAGAAGGCAGAGGGTAGTGTTCTATATGAGTAAGATCAGTCTGGCTGGACCTAAGGCTGGAAAAGTAGATTGGAGCCAGGTTGTGAAGGGCTTTTAATTGCCATTTGATTTTTATCTTAGAGCTAATAGGGAGCCAGTAAAGTTTTCTCAGCAGGAAGTGAGATGGTCAAATCTGTGCTTTGGGAAAGTCACTTTAGCAGTTACATGGAAGATGGATTGTAGAGGGCAGAGATTTAAAACAAGACGACTAAAAAGGAAGCTATTGTGAGAGGTGATGAATACCTGAATTAAGGTGATGGCAATTTGAGTGCAGAGAAGGGGCTGGATGTGAGAAATGTTGTGAAGGCAGAATCTGCAAGACTTGGAATTTGGCAAACTATATGGAGTAAGGGAGAGCGAGGAGATAAAGATACCTCTTAAATGGTAAACCTGGGTGATTTTAAGAGTGGCACCATTTATCTAAATAGAAGTTCAGAAGAAAAGTAGGTGTAGAAGATAATTCTCATCATCCATCTCCACTCCCTAATAATGAGTGTCCTCCTAGGCTCTGCCGTGGGTCGCTTACTTTTCCAGGGTTATTATGCTCCTCTTTATTCACTGAACATTCCAGGCAAACTGGCCTACCTGACATTTCCTAAATACAACATCCTGCCTCCTAGCTCTGCCTCTGTACAGACTCTCTCTTATGTCCAGAATACTCTGCCTCTTCTCATTAGCCTCTTAGCCTTACTTCATAGCTCAGTTCTAGTGCCATTTCCTACAGCATACTTTCCTAGTTGCCTCTTTTATAATTAACTTGATATATATTTATATTTTACTTCCATGTACACATTGCTTCCCATTCTGTCTAATGTAAACTCCTAGAGGGCAGGAAATATTTTCATTTTTTATATATCCCCAGTATCTGGTACATAAGCAAGGGCTTAATAAACAAATATGATGGATATTGTGGTATTACTTGGCAACTAAAGGATAGGTAATTCAGTTCTGTATATGGTGAATTTTTTTTTCTTTTTTTTGGTGAGGCAATCGGGGTAAAGTAACTTGCCCAGGGTCACATAGCTAGTAAGTGTCAAGTGTCTAAGGCCAGATTTGAACTCAGGTCCTCCCAACTCCAAGGCCAGAACTCTATCCACTGTGCCACCTAGCTGCCCCTGTATATGTTGAATTTTGAGATGCCTAATGGAGATGTCTAGCAGGTAGTTGGCATGGAGGAATCAGAGATCAGCAGAAATATTAGGATTGGATTTGGGAGTCATCTGTATACTGCTAATGAAACCTATGGGAGCAGAACAGAACATTAAGAGAAATCAAGGGCAAAGAAAAGGGTATAGAATACAGCCTCAAAGGACATTCATATTGAAGAGAATGGGAGATGGATAATGATCCATCCAAGGATACAAACACAAAAATAACCAGAAAACAGCTGTGACATGGAAGCCAAAGGAGGAGAAAGTTTCTAGGAGGAGTGCTCATCAACAGAGCCAAAAAATGGAAAAAGGGGGATGAGAACTGAAAAATTACTATTGGTTATAGTAGTCACGAGAATGTTGGTATTTACATACTTGGATCTAGCAATCCTACTACAAACAAGTCAAACAGAAAGATCCTGTATATACTAAAATATCCACAGCAGTACTTTTGTGATAATAGAAACTGAAAACAAAGTGATACCCCTCAAGTTGGGAATGGTTAAATAAACACTGGTATGTGAATATAATATTACTGTGCCTCAAGAAACACTAAATGTGAGTGATTCAGAGAATCATAGAAGACTTATGTGAACTAAGAGTCAAAGAAATCAGAACTAAAAACAATAAATACAACACAGTAATGTAAATTAAAACACCACAGAAAGACGCTGGACTCAGATTAAATGCAATGACTAATACTGATCCCAGGATACAAGAACTTCATCTCCTCTCCATAAAAGGCTATATATGCCAAATGTGATAAACACAGTTGCTGTAACTGTACTGTTAAGTTGTGCTTAAATGTTTTCCTTTATTACAAGAGTAAATTCTGGGAAGAGAGGAAGGATATCAGAAAATTATTGTGATATAAAAAAATATAATGGCATAGATAAAACTTTAAAAAGAGTTGTTGGTAACCCTAAGAAAGTTTGACAGTGAAAAGAAGGAACAATAGATAAAAGTTTAAAGGAATAAGAGAGTCAAGAGAAGGCTTTTTCTTTCTTTTTTGAAGCATAAATCTATATAGACATGTTGGTAGGTGCCAGTGATTGGAAGTGGAAGAGGGATATGATAGGGTAAGCTCTTAGAAGGGATAGGATCAAAACCCAAGTATAAGGATTGAACCTGGCAATGAGAAGAATTACCTCCTCCCCTGAAACAGAACAGAAGAGGAAATGATGTCGATGATATCGTTGGGACTTGAGCTGTTTAAGATACAAGGGAGCTCACATCAGCTGCCCTTCCTGGTCTGACTCTAGGACCAGGAACATCATAAGCTCATTGCCTGAAATCTCATCACCATGGAGACTGAGTCAGGTTTTGATATTCAACACCTCTTCAACACTGCTGATTGGAGGGATGAAAGGCGGTTTAATAAACTCCTCCCAAAGCCTCCCTTTAAGGAGGTTCAGAACTAATTTCATTTTACATCTGCTCTGCTAGGTTTCACTCTAGGAACATCATCCCTCCCACCCATCTTATAGTGCCCCTCCCCACTTGTCAGCTTCCTTTTGTGTACTATCTTTTCTCATTGGATTATAAGCTCCTACAGGTTTGAGACTGTCTCTTTTTCTGATTTGTATCCCTAGAATTTAGCTTGATGCCTAGCGCATAGCGTGGGAGTAAAGGAAAAGAAGGTAAATGACCACGGTTGTGGATTGGCAGTGCTAGAATGGCAGCAGGACAACTCAAAGGATTCAAGTGTGAAGGACAATGTACCATTGAACCAGGCAAGTACAGTGTGAAGGCTGTGATTCATTTCAACTAGACTTAATATATTAAAAATTGTATATAGTTAAATTTTACATGTATAAAGAACAAGTTACTCTATTTTATTCCAAATGTAGTGATTTGGGGGAGGAGAGGGAGAAACGTTCCTTTACTCACCATTACAAGTACCTTTGCTTAGAGACATCTAGAATCAGTGAGAGGTAACTTCTAATCTCTGCTACAAACCTCCTAAAGGATCTTAAGCTAGTTACTCTTCCTAAGCCTCAACAGCTCTCTCCTACAATAAGTTTAGGAATAAATCCACTATCTCAAAAATTTATAATATCCTATACGTTAAGCTGTACAAAAATTCACTACATAGAATTAGGCAAAAGCAACCCAGTATCTCACCCCCAAAAGAACAATAGGTGAATCAATGAATGTAAGAATATTTTAGATTATACTCAAGGAATGACTTAAGAGTTAAAAGTACTAAAAAGTAAATGGTGTATAAGTATGTAGTATAGAAAATAAACTCATTTATTTACACATTAATTATCCACAACAAAATCTAATGCAAAGTGGGCTCATTTCATTAATTGTCTACTAATAAAATTTCAGTGGTTATAAACTAATTTAAATGCAGTATTTAGTGTTATAACTTTATGACATTTGGAAGCCCCTAAATGAAAGCATAACTACCATTCAAGGAATTGTTTTGTGAGTGAAAAGCCAGACTGGCAGAATAGGTATGAATAAGACACAGCAGTTGGATTTACTTAGCTTTACCCAAGAAAAGTTGTGTACATCTAATCACATTTCCCCAACATTTACAAAATAATAATTCAAAGCAAGGCAAGGATTAAATGGGTGTGAAATGTCACATATGCTCTCAGATGTTGGTTAGTTTTCCTTAACTTTTATAAATTTGTCACAGTAAGGACTGGCAGGGGAAGGGAGATATCAAGAAATAATTTTGATATAAAAACAAAAGGCATGATTAAGAATTTCAAAAGATTAATGTGATAAAGTTTAGTGTTAAAATGCACATAAATTTAAGGTATTCATTAAGGGGAAAATAAGTTAGCACCTCTTCCCATTCCAGGACAGACTGTATTCTTTCTTTCTTGTCCTCTAGCTAATCACTGATTCCACATGGCTGCCTCACTCTCCTGCTCCAATTATTAGGTACAACATCACAGAAGACAAAAAAATTTGAGCCTGTATAGGATATGCCTAGCCAGCTGAGAAGGCTGGATAGTAGAAAAATTACATAAAAAAAGAAAAAGTAAAAAGGATCACTAAACTCTTAGTATAATAAACTGCATACAACCTCCATGATACTAGTAGAATTAATATGGTCATCTGTTCAATATTTTAAAACATAAATCAATCTCTTTATTACAATATATCATTTATCTTGAATTTATATATTCAGTATTGTTACTTACACCAGTATGGGCTTTCCTGATACTTTGGGATGTCTTAGAACATCAGCCACTGTCTCTCTAACTTCTTTCATTCTTTTTTCATCACTGGAATCCACCACAAATATTACTCCATATGATTCAGCGTAGTAATTTTTCCATATTCCTCGAATTTCCTGTCCACCTCCTAAGTCAAAAATTGTAACTTGAAACTTTCCCTGTCTAAGATCAATTCTAGAAAAGCCAACTGTTGGAACTACATCTTCGGGGCACTCTGTTTTAAAGGAAAGAAAAACAAAACAACACATTCTTTAGGCTTGCATTTGCTAATGAATATTTTAAATTTATGTTAAAGTATTAAATAACTACTAAAATTTTACATCATTTTACTAAAGTAAAGCTACACTAATTTGAAATATTCATTTAAAGAAATATTCATTGACTGACATATTTAAAAAACACTTCATTAGGCAGGCATTGTGGACTATGTAAAATACAAAGAAACATACGATACAAAGACCCTACCTTTAAAGAACTTACAGTCTAATTGAGATTAGACACACAAAAAGTTTAGACAATATAAGTAATGACTTAGAATTCAAACATACAAATGCTATACTTCCTCCTTTACTTTCTAATATGAATATCTCACACTTATTCAGCGTGTGTGTGTGTGTGTGTGTGTGTGTGTGTGTGTGTAAAGAATTGCAAAGACAGTCTAGTAGGTGGCACAGTAAAAAGAGTGCCAGATCTAGGCAGGAAGACCTGAGTTCAAATTCTATCTCAGACACTTACTAGCTAGATGACCCTGGGCGACTGTCACTTCACCCTGTTGGCCTAGTTTCCTCACCTGCAAAATGAGCATCTTTACTAAGAAAACCCCAAACAGGGTCACAGAAAGTTAGACATGGCTGAAATGACTAAACAACTAAGGACTGCAAAGTGCTTCTATGTTTATTAGCTCACATGACCCTTAGAACATTCTCTGTGAGATAGATCCTATTATCCTCACAGATGATAGAATTGAGGTTCAGAGAAGTTGCATGACTGTCACAAATGATAGCAAACATCTGAGGTGGGATTTAAACCCAAGTATTCCTTAACAGAGTCTAATACCATTTATCCACTATGCCGGACTACCTCTCCCTGACCATAAGGAAAATCTCCATGGGAAAAAAAAATAGAACTTTTAGAGAATAGATGGATTCGCAAATAAAACCAGGTACCAAAATGTGAAAAGCAGGATCAGTTTTTGAAAGCTGATTCCCATGCCTGGAATGATCTCCTTCCTTATCTCTGCCTCCTGGCTTCTATGGCTTCTTTCAAGTCATAGCTAAAGACCTGCCTTCTGAGTGGCCTTTCCTAATCCTTATTAGTGATGTTTGCCTTGCCTCTGGTTGACTGTTTTTATCAGTACTCAATATATCCTGTTTGTACATAGTTGTTCTCATGCTATCTCCCTCATTAAACTGGAAAAAGCAACCCTCTTTTGCCTTTCTTTGTATCTCTTGCACTTAGCACAATACCTGGCACATAGTAGGTGTTTAATAAATGCTTACTAGTTGACTCACTGAAGGGAAACTCCCAGGTGGTACTGCTTTTTTTTTTTTAAGTACTAAACACCCTGAACAAGTATCTTCATTGAAAGTACCTGAATTTTTCTACTTCTGATACTGAAATTTTTTACCAATTATGTAATTTATTTGGCATTAATAAGGATAACCTTTTAAAAATACCACTAGTTCTGGTAAAACTGAAAGGCTTCTTGAACTTAAATTTATATACTGCTTCAAAGATTATAAAGTGTTTTCCTAACTGAAGCTGAGAGGTTAAGTAAATTATCTCTTGTCAACCTGGCCTCCAAACCGAATACTTTTTTACTACTAATTCTACCTCACCATTACATACAAATTTATTAAATTAGATTGCTTTCTTTCCAATCCTTAACTACATAAAGGAATGGGAAGTGTGATTAGTAAAGGTGGTGACCCAGAGGTCAGATGCCTGGTTGGGAGGCTTGGGGCAGCAGAAGAACATGAAGTACCTAAGAAAGGAACAAAGTAGTTGGATACCAAAGACAAACTTTAAAAAAAAAAAAAAAAAACATTGCCTGGGGTCAGGAAAGGGGAGGAAAAAAGTTTTATTCACAAAATCATAGAATTTTAGAGCTAGAAGTGTTCTTAGAGACCATTTAGTCCAATCCCCTCATTTCACAAATGAGAATGAAGGCCCAGTGTTGGAAAGTGACTTATCCAAGGCTATGAGAGTAAAACCATGATTAAAAATCAGATTCCCTGAATCCAAGTTCAGTGTTCTTTCTTTCATGACAGTGTTGTTCTTTTTTTTTTATTTTTATTTTTTTTATTTTTAGTGAGGCAATCGGAGTTAAGTGACTTGACCAAGGTCACACAGGTGGTACGTGTCAAGTGTTTGGTGTGAGGCCAGATTTGAACTCAGGTCCTCCTGGCTTCAGGGCCGGTGCTCTATCCACTGCACCACCTCACTGCCCCCATTTCAGTGTTTTTCAAAACAAGTTATACTGTAGAGAAGTAAAATATTAAAATTTTTATAATGGCAATTCAACAAATGTTGTTAAGCACCTCTGTGCAAAACACTATGCTACACCACTGATCACTCTATCTTCCAGAGTTTTATCAGCAGATTCCGTTCATGTTGGGGGAAGGATATAAAAGAACAATATCATATAGGGAAAGGGAAGAAGGGAAGGAGTCGTCAGTTTATCCTCCTCAAAATTCGAAGGAACAGAATACGTTATTGGTTAATTATTAAACTATCTTATACAGCTTCTTACTCTGTTTTTCCCCATCTATTCTTGGACTGCATGGCCCTATGCTTCGAGAATGGAAAATGTGACTTTAAGAATTCATACTCTAATTCAGTCATATTATAGGTTAAAAAGGCTCTCTGTATTAACCTGGGAATCTAACCACCATTGACAACACTGTTTCCATGACAAAAAAAAAAAAGTGTTCCAAGTTCCATACAACTAACTTTTAAAACACAATGATTCTAATAGAGTCACTTCAATACCATTCAAGGAAATTTCATTAAGTATATAACTTGTGCAATATAATATGCTAGGTGCTAAGAATGCTAAAATGAAAAATGACATTGTTCCTAAAAGAGCTTACAAACCTAGTCAAGAAGGTAAGACATACATAAATAACCATAATGCAAGATATATAGCAATCAGTAAGGTCAAATAGATAGGAATGAGAGATTAGAAGTGGGACAGTGACTGAGCTCAGGAAAAGTCTTCATGGAAGAAACAGAGTTTGCTTAGGTGTAGGGAAAGTGGAAATAACTGTAAAAATTCATAGAGGTAAAAGAGCAAAACAAGAGATAGTTAGCATTGGATTTGGAACCATAAAATTTGGATTTGAACTCTGTCACTTATAGTTATATGATCTTACATATGTCACTAAATATTCTCAGAAGAATGATCTCTAAGGTCCTTTTTTGGGCACTAATTTTCTGTTATTTTGAAACCAGTGATGATATAATATGAAATAGAATGGATAAAGCTAGAAAGAAAAATTGGAAAGCAGACAGCAAATTGTCTTGAATGCCAAGATAAATAAGGAGTATGTATTTTACCCTGTGGCACCAGTGAAAGGCTCACAGTGATGTGATTAGATCTGCATTTATACACTTTCTTTGGGAAAGATTCAAAGGACAGATTGAAGAAGGGAGTAACTGGAGTGGAAGCCACGAAGGAGTCTCTTCTAATAGGTCAGGTTAGGGGTTATGTTCTATATTAGGACAGTGGCAATGGAGTGGATGGGAAGAAATAAATGCAAGAAATACTGTGGAGGTACCATCAATAGGATTTAGCAACTAATTAAATGAAGGAAGAGGATGAGGGAAAAAAGACTCAAAGACGACCCCTGGGTTTAGAGGCTGGGTAACTGGGAAGACAGTGATGTTCTCAAAAGAAACTGAAGTTAGGGAGAACACAAAGATTTAGGAAGAATACAAGGTCACTTTTGGACATGTGGAACCTGAGATGCTGGGAATATGTCCAGAAAAAAGTGATTAAGTATCAAATGAGTGAATTCAAAGGAGAAAAAGATAACAGACTCAGAGAAGGTTTTATACTTAGCTTTCTTCAAACTCTAAATATGTGTCTTCTGAATACAGCCACTCCTCCTTCCTGTCTAATAAGAGGGTGTTTAATAAACTTCTAATACAGAGGAAGGAGCAAGGAAAAGGAGTGCTTTTAAGAAAATGGTGTTGATTTTAAGTCAGAGAGATTAGATTCAAAACCTGCTTGTGATATAACCTTGTTTTCTCATCTAGATAATGAAGACAAGATGATCTCTGAGGTTCCCATTTCAACTCTAAAGCTCCAATCTTGTGATCTATTACAATATGAAGGAGTCGGATGGGGGAAGATTTGGGAGCATAAATTCAGTGAATGAACTATAAAGTATGTAGATAGGAAATAGAAATATATTTCCATTCTGTCTTAAAATCGAGTATATATACTCATCAGTCAGCTATGTCTCTCTGTTTTCAATTATGTCTGCATTCTACTAAATTTCTCTGCCAACTGCTTACACCCCTGAAGGGAATCAATCTCTTACTCTCTGGGCCTACCCAAGTGTAACACCTGAAAACATTCCCAAATAAGTGGGAACCCTCATGTAACCAAGCAACTAGCAGGCATTAAGTACCTACTGTGTACTAAAAAGTCTATAGGAGCCAGGAGAATAATGAAAAACCAAGTTACTAATTGAGCTATCACATCATTTGCTGGCCTGAAGAGTGTACCAAAAAAAAGAGGGCTTTGTAAGAAATAGCTAATCAGAATTAAGGATAATTTAACAATTATATAAATATTCATAGCTTACCTCCTTGAATTCCTTTCACTGCTGCACTTTTACCAGCATTATCAAGGCCCACCATCAAAAGTGTCACCTTTCTTAAAATAATAACATTTTAAAAATCACTTTAGGATATAATGAATTTACATTTTTAAACTTTTTATTTCTATGGCACAATTAAGCAAAATCACTTTTAAGATAGTCATTTTCTGATAATCTATGAAAATAGAAGGCAGTAATACAATAAATAAATAATTCAAAATGGCAGATAAAAAGCAGCAAAAAAAAACTATACAATAATCACATATGATTGTATTAAATAAAGTCATGAATCTATGTGACTGAAAGGATGGTGGTGCCCTAAACAGAAATAAGTTGAAAAGAGGGTTAAGTGAGAGGACAATTTTACCTATTTTACACATGCTGAGTTTGAGATGTCTATGGGACCTCCAGTCAAATGTCCAATATGAGGTTGACATGGGACTAAAGCTCAGTAGATTCTTGATAACTATCTTTGAAAATAGCCTGTGTAAAGATAATTGAACTCGTGCAAGCTAATGAGGTTACTAAGAGAGTACAAAGAGGGAAGAGGGTACAGGACAAAGCTATTAAGTCTTGAAGGCACTATTCAAACCCAACTCTCTAGACTCCAAGTCTAGTGTTCTTTCTATAATACTATACTGTCCCACAATGTTTAATATTTACTAACAAATAATAAATGTACTTTCCATTCATAAATTATCTATCCATACATAACAAGAACACTAACTTGTAAGAGCAAAATTCCAACATGACCTATTTAAACACCCTGAAAATAGGACATATTTAAAAGGAAAGGCTATTTCCCAGTCATCTTCGTGTCATGCTCGTGAAATCTAGGTTTCTAATGGTTAGCATTCCCTATAGCCCAACAAGACCCATTACCACTGCTGTTTGTCCTCCCATCACCTGCCATATCTTGCTTAAGGTAAATCTCATCTCTCCTTCCTTCTCTTCACTGCCCTTCCAGTCCCTCTCCTCCTCCTTATAATTCTGCCCAAAGGAATGTAAATTTTGATGGTTGAAACCTAACAAGATATCTAAGGGTTTACCAGGCTAGATTTTTTTTTCTTAAGGACCTTGCCTTAAACCCAAATCACTCTGGCTCTCACGGATTAGCCAACAATAGGTCCCAGGCCAAGCCCTACTTGGTCATAGTTTGGGCCCTGATTGGCTCAGAATCAATGCAAATAGCAATTGTTTCTGTTTGGGCCAGAAACCCTGAGGGTCTTCCCTGAATCTTCCTCTCCTAGATTGTTTTTTTTTTTGTTTGGACTAGCCTCAATCACTGAATGGGAGCTGCCTCAGTCAAACTGAGCGAGACCTGTTAAAGACCTTAGTCTAAAAAGTGCAAAAATAACTTACTCTTAAATAATTTATGAATAATTTAAAACTCTTAATAATTTTTATAAGAATTTTCTAACATATTACAAGAAACCTTGTTCTCCTAATCTTTTTATTATCTTTGATACTTAGTTTACATATCCATTTAGATCTTACTGTGATATATGGTTTAAAATATTAACAATACCATTCCTTCTAGTAATGATGTATATAGCTGCCAGTCTCTGAAGAAATAAATTTGAAAATCATGGTAAAGGCAATAATGAACATTTGTTTCACTTGATTATACATGTTTACAACAGGGGTTTTAGTTTTCTTTTGTTCTCAATCAGCAGGGAGGGGGAGGGAGAAGTCAAATTTTTATTGACCCAAAAAATAAAATTCAAAAAAGAAAATCCCTATCTTCCCTTAAAAGGACAACTCAGGTGCTACGTCCTTTCCTGATCTCCATAATTTTTAGTGCTATGTCTTTAAGTTATTTTTTATTTATTAATCTGTGTACATACTGTGTTCTCCTCTGCAGAATATAATTCCTTGAATTGCAGGAACCAGTAAAATCAAGTAGCCTGTTAAACTTCACTGTATCCTTCACAGCAGCTTATATATAAGAAATACACAAATAATATATAATTTCATTTGGTAACACCACAATTTATCACTGGGGTACCAATGATATCCTAGGGCAGTGTTTCTTAACCTTTTTTGTGTCATAGATCCCTTCAAAGTCTAGAGAGGCCTACTGACTACATCTCAGAATGTCTTTAACTATACAGTTAAATATAACTCTATAGTTAAATACAGTTAAATATAACTATATAGTTAACTATATATATATAAATATATAACTATAACTATATAGTTAACTATAACTACATAGGATTACAAAGGAAACCAAGTATGTTAAAATAAAGATGTATTTTTTTTTCCCACACAAGTTGAACCCTGTGAAATCTTTTCAATGACCTTTTGGTGGTCCATGGACCCTAGGTTAAGAACCCCTACTCTGTTGGTGGAGCTATGAACTGATCTAACCATTTTGGAGAGCCATTTTGGCCCAAAAGACTATAAAACTGTGCATACTCTTTGCTCGGGCAACACTACTTCTAGATCTGTATACCAAAGAAATAAAACAAAAGGGCAAAGGACCTATCTGTAAAAAAATATTTATAGCAGCTCCTCTTATGGTGGCAAAGTGGTGGAAATTTGAGGAGATGTCCATCAATTGGGAAATGGCTGAACAAGTTGTGATATATGATTGTAATGTAATATTTTTGTGCTGTAAGAAATGATGAGCAGGATAAGATGATTTCAGAAAAATTCTGGAAAAACTTACATGAACTGATGTAGAGCTAAGTGAGCAGAATCAGAACACAGAACACAGTGACAGCAATATTGTACCATCATCAACTGTGAATGACTTAGCAATGATCCACGACAATCCCAAAGAATTCATGATTAAAAAAAATGAATACAGATGGTAGACTACTATTTTTCACTTTTTTTTTTGGTTCAAGTTTTCTTCCACAAAATGATTAATATAGAAATACGTTTTATATGATAGCACATGTACAACCTGTATCAGGTTGCTTACAGCCTCAGGGAGGGAGGAGGGCCTGAAGGAACAGAATTTGGAACTCAAAACTTTAAAAAAACAAAAAAGTTTAAAACTTTGTAAATGTAATTTAGAAAAATTAAATGTTACTTTAAAAAAAGAACACCTACTTTAAGGCCACAAGTAGGTTCCACCTAAACACAAAAAGGTGGAAAGAGCTAAGAAAATTCAAATGAGATGAGAAGAGAAAGAAAATGTTGAGAGGCCATAAGGTTAATGAGCCTGAAAAGGTATGGTTGGAGAGGAAAAGTACAAGGAGCTAAATCATAACTGCTTCTTTCTACTTAGATGAGCTTAGGCAAGTCCTGTAAATTGAGCTTCAGTTTCGTATGTAAAATGAGGGACTTGAACTAGATGATCACTGAGCTCTCTCCAGCCCTATGATCTTATTGATAGCTGGGAAGGAGAAAACAGAGGTAGGTATAACAAAGGAAGCAGAAAGATTAAAGCTGGACTTGTCCATTTCTGTGGACAGGATCTTCATTCTTCCAGACAACCAGCCTCAAAATCACCTTTGACTTTTCCTCTTCTTCCTACATTCATTCAATCATTAATTTATATTGGTTCTGATTATCTAAGGTCTTTAAGAGAAGTCTCTTTACATTCCCCAAATCATCAATTCAGCTCAAGCTCTAAGTACTTCATTACAGAAATAGGCTTTTAACTGATCTCTGCTTCCAAGATCCCCTTCAATACATTGTAGATTTTCATGTAAAAATACCACTTTGCACACATTATCCCCTATTCAAAAATCTTTAGTGATACCACCTTGCCCTCCATAACAACTTAATGCCTTTGCAGGTTAAAGTCAAAATTTCTTAGCCTGGCAATAGAGATCTTTTATAACACTATAGATAACTCCCTGGTAAGTAACTTGTTTACTCTTTGTATCTAGAATATACCAAGTACAATACCACTTCCAAGTGATGTTTCCTTTACTTGAAATGTACTCCATTCTCCTCATCCTACCTTCCTTCGAGACCTTCTCCCTCACAGGCAGCTCTAAGTCTACTCCAATTCTTTAGGCTTGGCTCTCTCTTCTTATATATTTGCAAGTACTTGATTTATTAACACACCAACTTAGGGTGTACATCCCAATTCATGTGGCTATTTCTGATTCTGTCTCTGGGTGTCTCGGACCATACCTAGTAGCTTACTCTGCTTTCTGATGCTGACACCTGCTGAGTAAGTTTAAATCCAGGTCCCTAAAAAGTAAATTGTTTGGTGGGAGAGACTGTAAATAAAGGTAAGGGTGGATAAGAGAGTGAGTACCGATTTGGATTATAAAAAAAGAGTACATGAGTATGGAAGATGAGATGGACAGCCAACTAAATCAATGACAGTGATCACCATTTCCATGCAAACAAAGTTTCCAAAGAAATTCTCAAAGAAAATACTTTAATGAAATATGATTTTAGGTGATCTTAATTAGGCCTGTAGATGTAAAAGGTTAAATAAACTGTGTACGAATATCACCTATAAAAATAATGTAAGAAATTAAGACATTATCACATATAAAATTTAAAAGTGGTATTAATGAGAATATTCCAAATCAGTTTTCATTAGGGAGATCAAAACATCAACAATTGTTTTAAAAGCTATTTACAAAGTTCTGGATGAAATTAACCAATCTTAATTTTGGTACAGGTATAAAGCAATACTTAAAATTTACCAGAAAACAACTTTTTTTCCCCCTTCTTGAAACAACTTGCCATCTCCTCTGGAGTAATACACACAGAGTAAAATAAATTTAATTATCTAATGTAAACTGTAATTCACATTAATTAATCTGCTAAATTTATGAAAAAATGACACAGTCCTCCTAAGCTGCAAACACCTATGACAATTCTATCCAATGCAGAAACATTTTTGAAAATTTATATGTTTTAAGAAAAAGACATGTTTTAGGGTTGACATTTACATTAGTTTTTGATATTTTCTTTACATCAGTTTTATTTTCTACTGTTTCTGGTATTATGCTATAGTCTAAAATATGCTTACTTAAGAACAGATTGGCACACAAGTTCTGAATATGAAACTTCAATGTCACATTTCTACAAATACTAATAAAATTTTCTTATGCTTAAAAAAGTCAAACATTTGACTCTTAAATGGAGATAGACACTTCTTTCTCTGTGTCATGTGATGACTGACTTTTTTTTTTTAATGAGACCCTTTCCCCACATAGTAATAAACTTAAATCATCCCAATATGTTTAAACTTTGCCTGTTTCAGGGTGAGACTGCTTACTGTAAAGGAAATCAATGTGAGAACTCTCTTCATAGCTCCAGAAAAATGCTATTACAGTTTTCGCCTTTCAATAAAATCCAGAGGAAAATATATACATCTCTAAAAAAGAAAAATCAAATGGGATTTTTTTTTTTAGAAACAAACCCAATGAAAATAACTATAGGTTATTTTGAAGGCTCAAGAAGGACTATGAAATCAAAGGACAGAAATCTATCTAATTAAAAGTGATGACATCACAAGTAGCTGAGTAGTCTAGAAGGTGAGAGCTTTACATTTCTTCAGATATTAAACATGTTATCAATCATTCTACAAAAAAACAGGATCCCTTCAGTCTGATTACAGCAGGTAAATGAAGGAGGAAAAAATTGCAAAATAATCCTTAAATGTAATTATCACCACGTTTAAGACCCAGGGATGAGAGAAAAACACACCTCCCTATCTTCCCCTCTCCTTTGAAGGGTAGAGGACAACGGGTGTGGGACAGTTTTTTACCGTTCTTTTTAATTTTTTTTGCTTTAGACTGTTCAGGGAGTAGGGAAGTGGGGGAGGCATATATTAGAAAATAAAACTGATGTAAAAAAAATATCAAAAACTAATGTAAATGTCAACCTAAAATATGTATTTTTAAGACATATACATTTTCAAAAATTCATTTTCATAAAGTACAGTTCAACTTGAAGAAAAATACTGTAGTTTGAAGCCATGAAGTTCTTAAAAGGCTTTACCATATTTTACCATCTTCCCGGTCATGTGGACGTGGAATGAAAATTAACATTAGTTATATGTAACTGCAGATTACCCCGAAGTCTCTTCTAGTTTCCTGTTTAGGGAGTATTTTCTCTATGCAACTCTCTGACCAGCTAATTCCCATGATCTTTTAAAATTTACATGAGCTTAACAAAAACAACCAAAAAAAGGCCAATTACTTAAGATAGCCAGGGATGCCCAGAGAATTCACGAAAGGCAATGCAGCTCTTAAGTAGGAGAACGAGAACAAAAACAATAAAACAGGCAAAGTAGAACCGCGGTAAAGAATAGAAATGCTCACTGCAATTGTAAGAAATTATATTGGTGTTCAATCTAAAACACAGAAAGCTGCAAGACATCTTCATAGTGAAGATTTTATCGCAGTGTCCATTTTGACTCCCATGATAGGAACAGGGAGTTAAAACAAAAAATCAAAGCAAAACAGGGAAGGTGGAAATGCTTATTTTAAAAGCTATTCCATGTCTATGGTTCTTTTTCAATTCGTTTTTTTCCCCCGAGACGACGAAGAAATCTCCAAAAAGGATTCCATTTGGAAAAAAAAAAGTTTTCTTTATAAACTCTAACGTGATGGGCAAAAAATTTAGGTAGTCACTTATTTTAAGGACAAGGCTTTCCTCCTTCACGGCTCCAGGTTCCCCCGAGAGAAGAATGGGAAAACAAAAGGTCTCGACCTATTGAAGATTTCGAGAAAACCTGCGTCACGGGCCCCCGCCCCAAGGAGCGCCTCGCAGCAGACCCCCTCCTGGAGCGGGGCTGGGCCCCTTGCCTTCCCCCTTCCTACCTGGTGGGGTCCCGCCACCTTTTCAGCCAGTCAAAACAGCTGGTCATCAAATTGAGCAATCTACTGCGGCCGATTCCGCCCATCTGCGCCAGGGAAGCGAAGACTAGCGGCCTCGCGGCCCAGGATTTAAAGAATCGCGGCCGCCCAGAGGACAAAAGGCAGGGCCTGGGAATCAAAAGGGGGGATGGGAGGGAAAGGGAGGAGGGTAGGAAGGACAAACGGAGAAGGCCCCAGAGCAGACCACGACCGACTCCGGGAAACTCCGGTCACCAGCGAGAGTAGACAAGAGGGCCTGCCTCCGCAGCAAGAAGAAAAGCCTCTGAACCGCTCAACGCCAACTCTAGAGCTGACACGCCAATGTCGCAATTCCAGTTATGGGCAGGCCTTCCTAAGGCCCGCCCACACCTTTGCCCCAATATTTGTGTCTGAGTAGCTGGCTCGCCATCGAAGCTCCGCCCCCCGCCCAAAGAGAGAAAAGAACGGCTTGGGGGAGGTGGGGAGAAGGGGGACGTGCAACTAGGCAACGGGAGCGTCTCTGTAGCCAAGGTTTCTGTTATGAAAACAAACCCTAGCTAAGAAGGGCAGATAATTTATTCCTCCAATCCTTTTGCTATATTAATCTATTATTTCCCAAATTCCCTTTCCTTTTGCGTCAAATCCAAAAGATCTAAGACCTTAGAGTGCAATGCTTGTTTCTTTCTTAAGTTGTAAAAAAAATAAAGGATCCTTCTCTCCCAGCCATGGATCTTTTTTGTCGGGTGATCTCAGCAACTCAATCACTTGGCAATTAGGCTATGTCTGATCATGCTAAAAGAATTGGGAATGACTTCTTTAGAAGTCAAAGGAACAATAACTACCACACCAAAAAAAAAAAAAATCTTGCAATTATTTAGATAGTTCAGGTGGCATTTGGGTCTGTGTGAACCTAATTTTCACTTCTCTCCTTTCTAACTATTAAGTAGCAGCTCTACTACTGTCTGTATACCTTGGGAAAAGATGTGCAATATTATAGAATTAAACATCACACAATATTAACATCAAATAGAAAATTTTAATGTATTGATAAGGGGAGGAAGTAGATGTAAATATCTCTGACGTTCAAGACCATCTTTGGGAAAAATTGTTGAGTAAATGAATATTTTTTATCATCTCTCTCTGCCCTTACAGTACTTCTTCCTTACCGACTCTTCCTCAAACCAAGGCTTCATGGGCACCCCAACTCAGGGTCCTGCTTTTCCTGGGCTGACTCAAACTAGTACTCGTTATTTTCCTGTACTCACCTCTCCACTGCCTCTAAATTGGACTACTTGATGTTTTTGAAGACTGCCTCACCTGAAGGTACTACCTCAACTCATGATATTTCCTCCATTTAGAATGGCCTCACTCCCCTATTTCTGCCTTTTAAAATCCCATTGAATTCTTCAAGGTCTGGATCAAGTGTTCATGATTCATCCAGAAATATTTTCCCCTTCCTATGGACTTCTATAGCATCTTGTCACATTTATAAATGTGACATTTATCAAATACCTTTTATTTTAATTACAACCTTCCTTGTTTATTAGGTAGTAAGCCCCTTGAGGGCAGAAATAGAGTATTATGATTCATTTTTGTATCTTCATCAGTGCCTACCCCCGGGACTTACATGTCAATGTATATTTTTAAATCAATGAAAATACTAGAATAATAGAACCTCAGTCAGAATTAGAAGGGACCTCTCCAACTAATTCTATTTTGATCAAGAATCTCTTTTACAACATGCTGGACAAAGAGTTTTTAATAATTAGAGATGACCGGAAGCTAAATGAGCTGCCTTTAGAGGTGGTAACCTTTTGACCTCCTTGGAGGTATTTAAGAAGAGTCTGGATGGCCACTTGTCAGATATGTGGTGGTAGGGATTTCTTTTCAGAATGTATTGGATTAATGGAACTACGATGCCTTTCAACTGTCATATTCTCTTATTGTGTGAGTCAACCAGCCTCTGCTTGAAGACTTCACTTCTTCCAAGGACAAACATTCCAATATACTCTAGATCTAGTCTAACCAGGGCAAGGTATGGTAGGGTCATTATACCTCATTCATGAAGAATAGTACATTTCTATTAATGCAGCCTACTATACTATTAGTTTTCTGAGGCTGCTACACACACTGTTGAGTTTTTAATTTATTAAAATTCCCAACTCTTTTTGCAAAGTACACAATACCTACAATTTTAACATTAATCCCACCTGCTGTGTTAAAATCAGTGCTCTGTTCCTTCCTAATTCTATTACTTTCACTGACTAGGAAGTTGGAAGGAAAACATCCTTCACCAAAATTCCACGTCAAAGGATGTTTGTTTGTCACAGATTTCAAGCACCATATTCAGGACTAATGCAAGTCAAAGTCAGTCTATTAACAAGGCTGAAAGGGGAACAGGATCTATTTGTAGAAAAATATTTATAACTTCTCTTTTTGTGGTAGTAAAGAACTAGAAACTGAAGGTGTGGCCATCATTTGGAGAATGGCTGAACAAGCAATGATATTTGAATGGAATGGAATCAGATTGTGTTATAAGAAATTACGGTTTCCAAAATTTCAAAAAAACCTGGGAAGACTTGTATGAATATAGAGTGAAATAAGAAGAACCAGCAAAACAATTTATATTTATATTATGACATTGTAAAAATGAACAAGAACAGAACTTTGATCAGCATGATCAAATCAATCATGATTCTAGAAAATTGACGATGAAGAACATTGTGTTTGAATAAGCACATCTATCACGAGAGTTTTTTTCTTCAATGTGTGGGTGATGGAGTTGGTAGGAAGAAGAGAAAATAAATATTTTTAAATTGAACTCTTAATTTTAAAAAAGTATAGTATACTATATTGAAATAGTATAAACAGCCTTGAGCTACAGAATTTAAAAACCAACAAGATCTTACTGAGATTAATTACAATAGCATCACCAATAATTTTTTTTAATTATCGACATCCTGTTTTATCAATTCTGCAAAATAAGTAAATATATTAACTTTTAAAAATATATAAGTAAATAAATGCTGTTATACACAAGATTAATTAGAGTAATGGGGACTTCAGGCATGAAGTATATAGACTCCTGGTAGGCTGATAAGAATACTATTTTGAGGGAGTTGGGAATTTTGTAGTGTAGGTCTTTGCCTGTACTTTCCCATGTTTTCAACAATTCGTCAAAACTGACATTTTTATTTTGTCTCCTCCTTATTTATATACTGAAAATGTTGACGATTTCCCTATCTGTTCCTTTCCTTCTTTTTTCTTCCCTAAATGTTCTGCTGCATGGTAAGTAGGAAGTAAAGCAGTAATTCAATGGCTTAAAATACCACTTTTGAATGGAAGTTTTAGTCCTTTAATAATGACTTATCCAACCTAGAACGTCAATTAATCGGAAATTTCAGGGTTTTTTTTGCCAGTAATAAAGTCAACAAGTCAGCATACCTAAAGGGACTGTTTTGTGCAAAATACTTACCTCCGAAGTTCAATTTCAAAGTCCGTAAAAAGAGGACTAAATAAATGGACTAATATAACAATACTGAACATCATGACTACTTATTTTGTTTCCATGAACACCTTTATAAGTACAGGCTCCTGAGAGTATTCACTGAAATCAACTTCTGTGAATTACTGCACTTTCCTGCCCTTCACCTTCTTATAAACTTTTCTTTCTTAGCTCTGACAGGAGCTGAGTCTGGTGATTTCCCAGCAGAAGCCTTAGCAATTTTTTCCTGCTGAAATGTTTTCAGTGTTCTGTTTACCTTTAAAATTTCACTTTTCAGCTATCCCCTCATATAACCAAATGTAAGATATGTGTGAAGGGAAAAATTAAGTGAACAAACTGCTTTGACCTGGTTGCAAGAAAAGCAAAGATACTCGGGCTATGTTTACTAGACTCACTTTCCCCACCCCCTCCCACCCCCACAAAGTCTGAAAAGCTTCCTGGAAAATGTCCTGTTTCTGGGATGGATCCCATCCCACTGTTATCACTTTCCCCAGCAGGGGCTAGGGAACTGGGAGCTGGCAACCTCTTCCCTCCCTCTTGCACACCGCCGCTGTTTTGCTGCCTCGCTCTGAGGCTCTGGGACAAAGTAAATAGAGAAGAAGCTACAGCAAGAGCAGAAGCAGAAGCAGAAACAGCCCAAGCGGCAACAACACACACAAGGCAGTACATACCTCGCTCAACCTTCTGCTGGGCCTTCTCACAATGAGGATCCTAGGACGGCGCTGCGTTGGCTTCATTCTGAGTCTCATTTTCATGATCCAGACCTCAGACGCAGTAAACTGTGAGTAATCAATTGTGACCATACACATCACTCTCCTTGCCCCCCACCCCCAGCCCCCGACAGTTTTGCCAAGTTTCGGTGCTGTTTCTCGTTCGTTTGGATTTCTTTTCCCTGGGTCTTTTCACTTAGCCCTGTCTCTCTCACTTCCATCCTCCTACTAAGGGGCAACTGCGCCTTCATCTAAAAGGATGTGTAATAGTGGGGGTCGGGTAGGGTAAATATTTTCAAGCTTGTGACAATTTACTGCCCACTTGCCTTCTTTTGGAACAAATCCAAGGGATACTGTAACTAATTAATAATAATGGAGTGAGTGCACACTTTTTGTCTTGTCCCGCAATCCCCTCTCCTTCACCTATCTCCCAATTTAGAAATTGAAGCTCCTAATCAGGGCAAGAGTGTATGTTCAGACTCTGGAATCCGCGAAAGCCAAACTTCATTCTCCACTCCTCTCCACTGCTCAACCCGCCCCCACCAGTATCCATCCCAAAACATCCCTCCCTTTACCCTGCCTTTCTGCCTAGGCTTGTGCAATGACTGTACTTTGAACTTTTATCGACTCACATTGCCTCACTTACTAAAGTAGGATGACAGCTTGCTCTTTAGTAGGCTACTGTTCCATGCTAACCTCGAGATCAAAAGAATGTTACCTAGATCATTTGTTAGCACACCTTTTAACACTAGGTATATTAAAACAGTTAATTTGCTTTTTTTGACATGAAGTAGTTTTCTATACATTCATACCCTGAATTAATTCTCCTATTGTCTTTTATGTGATACATAATACAGATCTTGGAAGAGTAAATCATTTCCACATTTGGCATAATAATTTGGTTTCTAAAGTCGTGTTAATCCTATCTAAAGGTACCCTGAGGTGAATTATTTTAAAGCTGATTACCTATGTTGATGTTTTCTAATTAGGTAGGATCATGACTAGCAATATTGTCCCTCAAAGTTTTTCTCTAGGTAGGGCAGGAGACAACCCTTGCACTCTAAAATAGCTATTGAGGCTTTTGGTAACTAAAAAGAAAAGATTCCAAATTTAGTAATCCCAAATTAGGAATTTAATAAGGAGGTTAAGTTAACCAATAAGGAGGTTAAGTTAACCAATAAGGAGGTTAACTATGAATTGGAACAAAACAGCACTCACTTTGCATAAATCAAGAGTGTTATAAATATTTTAAAATCTAAATGCTGTAAGTTGATGCAGTTTCTAAAAACCAAAATGGGAAAACTTCAACACAAAGTGATTAGTTTATAAGATTCCTTGAGTTTAGTTTTCAGAAACTGAGATGGAGTTTATATAAATCAATAGGAATTTGGGGAATTTTCCTGAGAAATTGTTTTGCTTTACAAAGGAAAAAAGAGCAAAAGTCTCTTGCCTTTCCCAGATACTACCTAGTTTCATGTTATTATGGAAATTTGCCTAGCCTCTTTTTCAGGAGAGGAATTGACCCTGAATATTAGATAGATAGAAGTGTTTATAGTTACAGAATGACCATCCTTCTCTTTAACTATTAGTTCATTTCCCTACTAATTCTCATGCTGGGTTCTAAGTCAATCAGAAGGGTATGTTCTGATCCTAAATCATAATTTGTTGAAGTGCGTAGCATCATTATTTAATCAGTTAGCTCTAAATCCACTCCAGTTTAAATAAACTGAAAAAAAAAATTTTTTTTAGGTAGCTCTGTAGGACACTGGATGGAACCCTAGGCCTGGAATCAGAAGGATCTGAGTTCAAATCTAGCCTCAAATACTAGTTGTGTGATCATGGGCAAGTGACTTAATCTCTCTCATTTTTCTCAACTGTAAAAGGGGGATAAAAAATAACACCCACCTCACAGTGTTGTTGTGAAGATCAAATGAAATAATATTGTAAAGTGCTTGGCACAGCTCCTGAAACATAGTAGGCACTTCCCTTCTCTCCCCTATAAACTTTCTCTTCTCTGTTTCTAAAACCTTGATCTCTTAGGTGTAGACAAATGTCAATGTTATCAGTCATGCAATTTATTAACAGCATAATAAACAATACAAAGACATTTAATATTTCAACAATGTAGCACCCATAAGATTCACCTCTACCCATCAATTGCAACTGAGGACATTTCCTGAACTCTGGAAATACAGTCCAACTCTTTGGCTCTTTCCAGACCAAGTAAAGCCAGTCAAGAATTCTCTTCAGGATACCTTCACCAAAGTTTAAAGGCTAAATTCAGTTCTCTCAGCAAATCTCTCTTGAATCTTTCTCACAGTTAACGGCTTTAATCTCCTGGAAGTTCTGTGATTTCTGTTTCTCTCTTTCATTGTCTCTCTCATGACAGCAACAGTATCCAAAATTACAATTAAAGTTCCCCTCTCCCATGATTTTATACTTTCTATAAAATGTTCCTGTTCTTTGGCAGTTTTAATAACACACACACACACACACACATACACACATATTTCTGAGTGAGTACAAACCATTCTAGAACATCCTACCCGTATCCCCTCTCCTCTTGCCTCCTTCCACCTTAAACTTTTTTGTGTTAATTTTGTCTTACCCCTATGTTCCCTTTCTCTTCAAAGTCAGTGTTAATGGGTGGGGAAGTAGTTAGGGCTGAGTTAGGGTTAAGGGTACTGGTTGAAGTTCCTGCTATTCATCTGAAGACCAATTCTACTCTCTTTATTGTGGTACATATCTGTGGTTTCAAACAGAGTAACTGTTGAAACACAAATGACTTTCCCTGCCAATTACATCTAATATCCTCTAGGTATAGTTAAGGTTAAATGTTCTGTTTACTTCAATACTTTTATTTTTTGTGGATTTTTTCATTTTAATGTACTTGTACTTATTTCATTAATTTTTTATTACATTTAAAAATATTTTAATACTCAGTTTTTAAATTTGAGTTCCAAATTTTCTCACTCCTTCCTTCCCCTCCCTCACCTCTTGAGAAGGTAAGCAATATATTGATTATACATGTAAAGTCATACAACACATATTTCCAAATTAGTCATGTTGCAGAAGAAAATACACAAAACCCAATAAAAATAGAGTGGAAAAAAAGTATGTTTCAAGCTGTACTTAGAGTTTATCAGTTCTTTCTCTGGATGTGGGTAGCATTTTCCATCATGGGCCCTTTGGAATTGTCTTGGATCACTGTGTTATTCAGAGTAGCTAAGTCTTTGACACTTGATCATCCTTAAAATATTGCTGTGTGTACAATATTCACTTGGTTCTGTTCACTTTACTTTGCATCAGTTCACATAAGACTTCCCGGGTTTTTCTGAAACCATTCTACTCATCATTTCTTATAGCACAATAGTATTTTATTGCAATCATATACCACCAGTTGATGGGCATCCCCTCAATTTCAAATTCTTTGCCACCACAAAAAAAAACTGCTATAAATATTTTTGTACATGTAGGTCATTTTCCTTTTTTTTTTTTAATCTCTTTGAGATACAGACCTACTAGTGGTATTGTTGGGTCAAAGGGTATGCAGTTTTATATTCCTTTGGGCGTAGTTTCAAATTGTTCTCCAGATTGGTTGGACTAGTTCATAATTGTACCAATGGTGTATTAGTGTCCCAATTTTTCCACATCTCCTCCAGCATTTATCAATACTTTTAAAGATTCCTATATGAATTCTCTCTCCACTGAAGTAAAACATATTTCTCTCTCCCCCCTAAGCATTAATAAATAGTTTTTGTGGGTGGCCTTGTGCCCCATAAAATTCATCATATGGCAGACAACCTTCTTATAGACAAGCTTGTTCAAAGTTAGCTAAGCTTGTCCTCATTAGAGGCATATAAGTATCTCACAAATTCTGTACTCAAAGCCTGTCCAGCTTAGTAAGACCTAGCAGAACTCCTACTCTACTACCACAACCTCAGAAACCCAGAGTGATCTCCATGCAATAATAAGGCACAGAATTTTTGTACAAGTATATATAAACATTTAAAACCTCATAATATATGATGGGGGCAGGAGGGAAGAAAATCTATAAATGTTTTGTGAAAATCAGCTTTGAAACATGAAGACTGAAAATTGTGTTAAATTTGTTGAAGCAAATAAACTATCAGATTCTATTACTGGTTCTCAAATAATATATGCATGTGTATTTATTTATACTAAAAATATTTTAAAAGTAAATGTAGGTATAAAGTCTACCAAATATGTATTATTCATAGAAACAAAAAAAATTGGGGATTTTTCTCATGCAAGGACCTGTTGATTTTTTAGTTTGAGTCTATGTAGGTAATCATTCTTGTAGAGAATAACATGATGTCGAAGAAATGCCTGCTTACACTTCAACTCAGCACAGACCGATTTTATATCTTGGCTTTGCTATGTGACTGAGTAAGTCACTTCATCCCTGTGAATATCAGTTTCCTCATCTCTGCATAGCGAGGGCCATCTCATGGATTCTACTCAGAGCTGACATTCCGGGCTCTTGCCAACTATGCAAAAGCTTTATGGGTGCTTGTTTCTTGCAGTGTGTGACATACCTGTGGGCTTTGTACAAGATGACAGTCTTTTTATTGGCTTTGGAGAATTAGGAAGAACTGATGACTCATCTGGTAGAGTTAGAGCTCATTGGAACCCTGGGGAGGAGTCTCCAGCAATGACTCTGCCACACTTTAAGAAGACATAAAAAAGAAGATTGGCCCAAGCCTGGCCATTTTACTAGCAAATATTTATCAGAGGTTGTATGGATAGTGACAAGCCATGATAGAAAGCAGAGTCTACTATCAGTTTCCAAGCAATATCCTCTTGACTGGGAACTCTTTGGGGACAATAGAATCATTTCAGTGGGTCTATAAATCCATGCGTGCACCAAGTAGTGCCATCCTAATCATCACTTAGCTCCAACATAGTATACAGCCTGACTGTATGTTAGTAAGCATATGTTCTAGGGTTAGTTCATTGATTTAGGATTGGGATCGGAATGAAATGAAATACCTGTAGAATATCCAGCACTCAAAAGGAGGTTTACTTAAAAAGGATATTTAGCAAAAAT